GTGTGTGTGTGTGTGTGTGTGTGTGTGTATATATATTAAACCTTAAAAATATGTGGCTATATCCATCTTACAGATACAGTAAATACTTTCCCCATCCTGAACACTCACTAAGGTACCTAAATTTCGGGTCACCAGAAAGTAGACGCCATTTGGTCCGTCCGGCGCCATAGCTCCGTTTGTACTCAGCGCGGACACCGACGCCGCAGTTAAACTCACAATCAGAGCAGACCCCAAAGTCATTCCCAGGGCCAGGACAAGCCCAGCCTGCCCAGTGATTATACCAAAGCGGATAAAAATCAGGGCTCCCCTGGAGTGATAATAGTAGACAATTAACGGGGAGAAGCAGTGAGCGAGTGGATGAGAAGGAACGAGCGAGTGCGCGTGTATTTTAGGTCGCGCAGGCAAGGCGGTGCCTATCTCAATAGTAGACAATAAACGAGGAACTGTAATGCCTGATTGTGGTGCCCAGCGCAAGAATCTGCGACGTAGATGCCAAGACGCCCCGGGATATACATTTGTTAACAAAAGTGTAGCACAAGTGGTGTGATATTGGGTCTGAGCTTAACCTTAAAACCTCAGTGCAATCCTGTGCACCGGCGCGAAGATTTGACTTGTTTGTCTCGTGGAGATGCTAAACTGAATGGAATTCAGGGCGGGTGTATTGTATCAAAATCGGGCAACTGTAGAAATTGGCGGAATCCTGGCCCAGAAATATGGCTTAAAATGTAATTCGTGGTCACATCACTTCGCCGATTTGATGACTAATCTATTGGCTTAACTTATGTAGAATACTTAGAGTTTTAAGCTTTAGGGTTAGGGGTTAGACCCTAACACCCTAATCGTCTACCAATAGCACACTTAGGCCCAAAAAAGGACCGTAGATATCCCGAAAAATAATGAGTAAAACACGGATTAAATCATACTCTTAGTCGGTAGCTATGTTTTCCATATTGCACATGAACAGTATCTATTTACAGCACACGTAGAGATACAGTCAATATGACACACCAGGACACGTCACACAGCTATGTAGGTCTCCTCGAGAGTCACGCGCCTGGAGTGGTGCACCTGCCTACAGCGTGTACCTACAGCGTGTACCTACAGCGTATACCTACAGCGTGTACCTACAGCGTGTACCTACAGCAGGTACCCACTCAAGAAACTATTCCCATTAGGCGGATATAACCTGTGTACAAATAAACACAGGACTATACATCGAACTACCACCAGTGTATATGCGCTTGTACATAGCCCATAAGGTGACCAGCGGACGATGCATCTGGTGTGCTACAACAACCAGCGTGTCATATATGAACGGCGCAAGATATTTTTAGAACACACGCTTCATAACATGATCTATTTATAGAACAACTAAGGTGTGAAAAGCTACCTACCGCACTCCCCTACACGTGGACACGAACGCGTTCTACAAAATACATTCCATGTGTGCTACAACCAATGACCCTTTATAGCACACAATCTATTTATCGCAAGCCCGACGAGTTTACCTACCACATCGCACTGCACGTGGGCATGTACGTGCCTACGAAGGTGCCCACTAGATTTTCCTCTTCATAGTCGGCGTCTGCGTCATACATTGCGATCATTGCTTCTTTGGGGTCATCCCCTCTATTGTCGTGGGCGCTGAATGTGTTGCTTCTGACCGTCGCCTGTATAAGAATACTACTATAAGAATACTACTTGCGTAAGGTGTGGATAGGGATGGGCTATACCGACCCCATTAATCTCTCTCTCACTCTCTGCACGAGGTAGGTAACAGCCCCTTACGAGGTAGGTAAGGCACATACGCACAGGCTGCGGCACTCAGTGCCGAGTGGTGTACGCATCACACCCACACACAAGAACGAGCTAGTTCATAGCACACGAAAAGTAAAGTGCACACAGATACACAGTGCAAGCAGATTAGTCGGCGCAGCATATACAGTCGGACATGACATCCACATGACATGTAGGTACCGCTCACTGATACTGGGCAAGCCGTAACCTGGCTGTGATTGCGCTAGGTGGTAGATAGGGACAGACACAGGAACGAGTCAGGCCATAGCAGACGAACGCATGTCAAAGTAAAGTGCACACAGACACACAGTACATGCAGACTAGTCGGCGCAGCACATACAGACGGACATGACATCCACGTGACATGTAGGTACATCTCACTGATACTGCACTGAACGCCATCTTGTAGTCGCGCTAGGTGATATATAGGGACAGAGGTGCTAGGGTTTTCAGGGTTCTGTGTGCTAGGGTTTTTAGGGTTCTGTTGGGTTTCAGTAGACCATGACAGGCGCTGACACTTGCGACTGAGTGTGTGTGTGTGTAGGAGTGTATGGCATGGATATCCCGATGCGGATACAAACGCATACATATTGATGCAGACGCCACTTTCAGCGTACACCCACGGTACATAAAGGTGTATTTGTGAAGGCTTATATACGTATGTCTATATGTTTGTGTGCGCATTCTGTTGCGTTCGGGTCAAAACTGCTACATGAGACAATCAAAGCGTTGTACTTGTTTTACAAGCGTACAGGAAACAAGCTAAACGCCGGAGTGTGACTCACCTAACGGTTAAACGGTTCATACCTGATTCCTCCCAACGGTGCCCTGATTTCGCCCAATTGTATTCTGCGAGAAGACCTAATATGGTATAACGGATTACAGCACAGATAACTTAGTTGGATTTACAACAATACTTACCTACTACTATTTTCCAATACTTTATTTTCCATTAAAACCCTCGATTACTGAGTATGTTCGATGCGAAACGAGCGCAATCTCAACGGAGCAATAACGCCATCCACAACAGATCTAAGTAGGTTGAGAGAACAGATAGCATGACACTCATACCTGACAATGTCCAGATAACCCCTCCTTCGAGTAACGACAGCCTAAAAAGGCCCCTATATATACATAAAAACATAAAAAACACTAATCCAATAGACACTAAAATAGTATCAACCACACATTGTCACGTACGCACCACTGTTTCTCACAAAGCGCCAGCGCATACTTGTGTACATGTATCGGACGTATTCTCTGTCACTCGTACTGATGTGTGATAGGCAAATGGGAACAGTATATATATATATATATATATATATATATATATATTTATATATATATATGTATGTATATATATATATGTATATATATTCGATATATTTTGATACATATATATCTATATATACAGATATATATATATTTGTGCGTGTATATCTGTACATAAATATATACATAAATATATACATATATACATATATACATATATATATATATATATATAATATATACATATATACATATATATATATATATATATATATATATATATGTACATGTATAAATATATTTATAT